TTTGTGATACATTTTTAAACGTTCAGTTGACTGAGTTTCATGTTTAAGAGCTAATAATATTAATAATAATTGCATCTCTAGTCCAGGCAGTTTGTATTTGATTCTGAATAGATCTGAAATCTTTCCTTGTGTGGCCACCAGATGGCCATCCAGGAACCTGGGGAAAAAAAACAGAGCCATCCCTGGAAGGTCAGACGAGAAAGGAGGAACTTGGGAAACGGAAGCCAAAATGCAAAATGAAGGACTAAGTGATGGAAACAGGCATTGAAACACTTCACTAAATAAAAAAAACCAGATTCCAACACCGAGACCCAGACACAGAAATGCCATGTGTGGGAAACCTGCCCCGTCCAAATGAAGCCTTTGTGTAGTTTTACCAGCCTGGAAAGCTGAAAATTTCAGTTCGTCATGGATTCCAGTCAGAATGGGGTCCTTTGCAAAGATGTTAAGTGCCAAAATTCCTCTTGCACAGAGAACATTATCCTTGGAAAGTCAAATAAACTGTGTAGGTCTTCCTTCCTTCCTTCCTTCCTTCCTTCCTTCCTTCCTTCCTTCCTTCCTTCCTTCCCACCCTCCCTCCTTTTCATTTCTTTCCTCCCTTCCTCCCTTTTCCTTCCTTCCCTCCCTTTAATTTCTTTCTTTCCTCCCTTCCCATTCCTTCCCTTCCCCTTCCTTCTCTCCTTTTCATTTCTTCCCCTCCCTTCCCTTTCTTTCTTTTTCCTTCTCTTCCTTCCACCTTCCCTCCCTTTCACTTCTTTCCTCCATTCCCTTCACTGGCCCTCCCTCCCTCCCTCCTCGTTCACACTCATTCTTTCTCTCTCCCTTCTCTCCCACTCTCTCTCCTTCTCTCTCTTCCTCTCTCTCTCTCTCCCCCTTCCTCCTTCAAAAGTGCCCAGCGTTCTTTTCTTTCCCCCTTTTTCTTCAAACGCCAATCCTGCTCTTCCTCCCTAACTCTCCCTCCCCTCCCAAGGAAGCTATCCAGATAGTCTGCCTGGTTACACTGTGATGGGTTTTAAGGGACATGTGACATGCTTTTTGGAAGCGCGCACACAAAAGAGCTGAAAGGAACCCCCTTCCTTATTTCTGATGTTAAGGAACGAAGGCTACCGTTTGGGAAGGTGAAAAGGAGATGGAAACGGCTGCTGGACGCCTCAATCTTCCTTTTTTCTTGGGAGGCAATGATTAGATAAAGTATGAAAACTGGGGGTTTTTTTTCCTCCTTCTTCTTCTCCACATGCAGTTCTGGATCGCAGGCTCTTTTGTTTGACTTTTCTAGCAGTCACCCGTGCTAGAATAGCAGCAAATTGGCAGAAATAGAGACACTCCTGTGGCCTAATCACGGTCTCCTGACACATTTCTGACAGAGATGATACAATCATGAGCGCGCAATTGGCTCGGTGCTCAGGCAACTTCTCAATTATGCGATGCACGGGGGAGCCTGCCCTGTTTCTCAGGGTTTTTGCACAACCCTCGAGTTTGCTTTGTGGCACGCGCTTTTGCTAGCCCTTCTCTTTGGTAGCCACTGGCAGATGAATGGCGCTGACTCCTCCAGTCAAAATGAGGAAGGGCAGCTGCAATTAATTGGGAGGAAAAGCTCCGACAAGGGTAGTGCAGTAGCCCCCTCACAATCAGGGGGCTGTGATTTCGATCCTCCATAGAGGCGGATATTTCTCTCTCCAGGCACGATGAGAATATTATCCGCTGAACAAAACTCTGCATTGGGGACAGGAAGGGCATCCGGCCAGGAAACACTCTGCTAGCTCCATTCGGTTGCTGCCCAGACTCCACCCCGCAAGGGATTATGGAGATGTTCAAAGGAGATGAAAAGCTCCGACAAGATAGGGTTTGGCTAACCGAGAACACCGAATGACAGAGTTGGAAGACAGCTATCGTGTCATCCCCTATTTATTTTATTTTTATTTATTTTATTTGTCAAGCGATTCTAAGATAACAGGTATAAGTATAAGCATAGTCCTGAATACATGAAATGGATACCTATAAGAAAAATAAAAAGAACGAATAGGACAGGAACGGTAAGCACACTGGTGCGCTTATGCACGCCCCCTACAGACCTGGGCTTCCTTTTCATTAGACTACTAGACCTACTGTACCCAGTTCCCGCAGCTGAGCTGTGGGTGCTCCATTGCTGGAGGTTTTCAAGAAAAGATGGGACAACCGTTTGTCCAGGATGGTAAAAAGGACTCTTTCCTTGAGCACAGGGTGGGATAGAAGGCCTCCATGGCAGTGGTGGGAGTCAAAAAGTTTCGGTGGGCATGGCTTGGTGGGCACACTTTGCAAGAGTGCACACACTTCGCTTGCGTGAGTGCACCAAACACGCACTTCGCACAGGCGCAGAGGCGTCCCAACTCACCTCCTGCCAGCCTACACTCTCCCGGTTGCTTCCACAGCTGCCGCGCGGCACTTTCTGCTGTGCCGTGCAAAGCAGCTGCGCTTCAAAAGCAGGCAATAAAGGTGAGTATAGGAGCCTGGGTGGGCAGGTGCGCCCAACAGCAGAGCGGCTGAGAGAGCCAGTTTGGTCTCTGCTGATCTTTGGCGCTACCGGCTCGGGAGAACCGGGTTGAACCGGTAGAATACCACCACTGCTCCATGGTCTCTTCTTCCTGGGGGAAGGGAATATTAGAGCCACACACAGCCCACTCTGGAGGTTGGAGGGCTGGAGAAGACCAATCCAACCCTTGTTCAGCTTGGCCCCCTCTTTTTCCATCTTCTTTTTCAGTGTGTCATGTCCGATTCCGCACAGAGACACCCCAGGGGTGGTGAAAACAGATTTCTTTCCTCCTCCTCTCTTCAAAAGCTCCCAGCAGTTCCTGGTGATAATGAGTTCCACCGTAGAGGCTGCAGCTTTGATGTTCTGCGCCAACAGAGGTCTCCAAATGGAATTTGTTACATGGGGAAAGTCCCATGGTGTCAACCACAGAGCTTCTTGCTACAAGCCTTAGAAGCAAGGGAACTGTCGTACCCTTGATAAAGTCAGTCTCTAAGGGAGAGGAGGAACAGAGGAGTAGCTGACAGTGAGTGGAAGTATGGCTCCAGAAGCTGGGGAAGGGCACCGGCCAGCTGGACAGTCAGAGGAAGAACTACGCCCATCGCCTCTCCATCCTAGGACACGCAGGGAGGAACCGAGAAGGAAACAACTTGGCTTGCGAGAGAGGAAGCGGCCATGATCCTCCTCAATGTTTGCAGCTGGGGAGAATAGTGTATAAGAGAAACAGTTAAAACACACCGTTGCCAGTAGCAAAGCCTGTTTTATTTTGGTCTGAAGTTATCTTGGTTGGCGTCCTTCCACCAGACTGTGCCTTGTTATCTCCTTGAATTTGGTAAATACTTCTCCCATTCCGTTGTGGAAATTTCATCATCGTAGTTTATTTTGTTTTTTTATTTCACATTCATCTGCTCATTGAGTTTGGACTGTATTGCTTTCTTTCGAAGACTATTTTTGAATAAGTTTAATCTCCAACTGAGAATTATTGAACAGGGGTGGGGGGCAAGTTGGAGGCATGAAAGGACATTTATTTATGTTTTGGATTTTGCTACATTTGTGTTCCACTCCGGGTCATCACAGGAACCTGGGGAAGGCACAGATTACCTCTCGCCTCTTCCCTCCCCAATGCAATGCAACGTGGCTTAGAAAGAGGAGAGTAAAAGAACCTGGGTCAGATATCACCATGGACTGCTGGACAGCAGGAACTGAGGAATGGAGAGACCTCTTTTGTTAAGGTGGGAACATTAGGCGGCTTTTCCAGCGGCAAAATTTCCAAGTTCCTTTTGCAGCTGGCTGGATCCTTGGCGCCAGCTTGCTGGGAAGGTTCTACAAGGTGACAGGTGAAAAAGAGGCGGATGGCAGGGCTCAATTTTTTGGAGCCTGGGCAGGTTGTCCTGATAGCGATAGAAGAGGACATTTGTAGCTCAGGGTTGAACTGCCTGTTTCTTGGTGGTCTCCGAACTTGGTGGTTTTCTTGCGGACATTTCATGACCCCATTGGGTAACTTCATCAGTGCACTGGTTTTACCTAGTTGGGTAATGAAATGTCTGCAAGAAAAAAACCAAACTCAAAGAACACCAAGGACCCCACAATACTCTTCTTCCTCTTTTCTGCAAGTCCCACACCCTCTTAGCACTGATGATGTTACCTAGTTGGGTAATCAAACACTTGCAAGAAAACAACCAAGCTCAGGGAACAGCAAGGATCCCATCCTCCTCCTCCTCCTCCTCCTCCTCCTCCTCCTCCTCCTCCTCCCTCCTCAAATCCTAGTCCTTCCTAGCACTGATGAAGTTATCTAGTTGGGTCATCAAACGTCTGCAAGAAAACAACCAAGCTCAGAGAGCATCAAAGGACTCCACAGGTTACTCTGAGTTCCGACAAAAGGTGGCCGATGGGACCACATGTGGGCTGCACCATTTGCGGCTCCAAATACCCCTCCTCTTCCCCTTCCACCTTCTCTCCTCTTCGCCTTTGCCGCT